AAAATTGAATTGAACTGAACCATTTCTGCTCTAATATCAACAGAAGGAGGCTACTATTAGTGCTGGAGATCAGAGGCTGCAATCAAACTCCAAAAATGCGTAGCTGTGCCTGTCAGAAGATACATTCACTGAGCAGAAGATGGGGATTGGGACTAATGGGACCAACATTAACACAGCTCCACTTACTATTCCCACTTGGTTATAGATTAAGAATCAGGGACCTCCATAGAAAAGATAGTTGGATGCAAGATCAAGAACCATCAAGGGATGTTAGTTGTGTTTAATGAGAGGCAGGATGCAAGAGATTTACTGCAATTTGTCCAGAGGTGAGCTGAAGTGAAAACTCGCTCAACATCACAAAAGTGGACATCCAGTGAGTTATGACATGTTTGAGTCCTACTAGCAACACATATGCACGTATGCTTATATTTAGTTGTTACTGTTATGTAGTAATACAGCCAGGGATCCAACAGGTAAGTGTTGTAGTGGTGAGTTGTGTAAGTGTCTGACTCTGTCTTACTTGTTATGGTGGGCGAGGAGAGCAAGGAGGAGGAACTGAGTAGGCAGGAGAGTTGCAGACCATCAGCAGGTGGAGAGCAGGCAGACACGTTGTGAATAGGCAGGTGGGAGCTGTTGCTGTTATTCTAGCAGGTGGAAAGCATCAATCATAGCATGACAGCTCATGTAGCATTTGCTGGTATACTGTAGAATGCAGTTTGTTATATTCCCAAAGAAGGAGTCGCGGAGCAGCAGCAGCAGCACAGATTGTTCACAAAGAAACAAACAGAAACAAATCAATTTGGAAGTTATTTAAAGACAAACCTCCTCGTTCACCCACCGGCCCAATTCAACATTAACCTCTGATTGGAATCCCCAGTTTCACGGTGCTTCGAATGATCGCAGGTAAGGACGTGCTAAAACGCATCAAAAACCTCTCGTTATTGTCTGGGAATGTTTGCAATGTTTCACAATGAAATTGTAATAATTTGATGAAGACTCAGTATTGCATTACTTCTAAATCTCCCATGAATGATGAACTTTGTGAGTAAAGGTCAAAGCACGTAGTTCTTTTTGTTCTCCAAGACTCCACCAGCATTAAGGCCAAAATAATGGCTTTTGTGTGGGGAAATAGAACTGATAAGGCTCTGTCGATATGCACTGGATCACAGGCTCTATCAAAAGTCTGCTTTCATGCTGTTGTTCTTCCCAGTCGAAGTGTAGAGGACATTTTGGGAAAAGAGGGAAAAAAGCCCCAGAACACTGGCAGACACAACACACACATAGTGAGTCTATTACGCTGTCATAGTATGTTGTTTTTATTTGTGAGTAAGCCAAACCCCTCACCGGGGGGCTCAGAGGGATTTTCTCCATCCTGTAGTGGGTGGGTGGGCCACCACAGCAGCAGCAGCTCACCACTTCTTTGGAGACACTCACTTCATTAACAGCCTATTTTAGGACTATCCCTGGCAGATGCAAAACAAATCGGAAAACAATTCAGAGGATTGCTTGTAGGCTTCATGTCATTTTCTCCAGTGAGTACACTGAGGAGCCACTGTTAGTTAAAACACTCGGAGCATTTCATCGCCTTGTGTTTGAATGTATATGTAGAGGCGTAATGAACCTGCTCTGCCTCTCGTTTTGAACCTCTGAGAGGTAAAAAATCTCAGCTGTAAAGGCTCATTAGGTCAAAGACAGTACTATAAAACCTGAGAGGGAGCGGGGAGGCATGAGTGACTGTTTGGAAATCTAGTGCAGCGGAGAAAAAAGCGCCTATTAACACTGCAGGATGCTCTAGCAGTGCAAGGGGGGCCCTTACGCCAGGCATGAGGGAACTGACAATCCAAGGAGGATCTCTTCAGAATTTCCAAAACGTCATTTTTCTCCTTTCCTTGGGCAAGGAAACCAGCAGTGAACCGCTTACTTATGAGAGATATGCTTGTGGTTACTTTAATAGAGGAGTCTATAAAAATGGTGTTTGCAGCTACCACTAAACATACCAGCTAGAATTCCCTGACAAGTACATTCCCTGCTATGCCCTGGTCATGTTGAGGAAAAAGCTCTCATCCTCGGAAAAAATGTCTCCAGTGTAAAATCACAGATTCAGGAACATAAATGTCTCCTTTCTATTAATGGAGTAGCAACCTGTGCTGGCATCAGGCAGCACATACAAGCACAGAGTAGGTAGACTCCTTTTTCATTCACTCAGAAAACACACCAAGGAAACACAAGCTAGAGTAACAGTAAAATATTCCATTGACTAAAATTCTGTGAAATAAAGGCCCAATTTACATGAAAAAAATTCAAAATAGGATGGTGTGATGGTCAGCAAAGCAAGAGGGCCCTGAGTTCAAATCCAGCCTGGGCCGTTTCTGCGTGGGGTTTTCCCCGAGTACCCTGCTTCCTCCCACAGACGTTAATGGGGTTAGGTTAGCTGGTCATTGTTTATATATAGACAGAAATTTGCCTCAAAAAAGGTCACAATTGCTTATGATATGATCCACGAGCATAAAGTAAGATCTACAATCGTGTACTTGTGCGTAACTTTAAAGGGCTCACAAATGCATACTCCAGTCCACACAAAAATACAAAGCAATCTGACTGCATGTAAAACTATTTTACAAATGTGCACATCCAAACCTGAATTAACAGCGCCACACATGCAAAACCTTTTAAGTTCAGCTCCACGAAAGTCTGAAAATAGACGTAAAATCCCCCTGGCTCATAAAACAGGAAGTCTTCACAGGAGTGCAGCCCGTGATTCAGAAGCAGATCAATAAAATACAGAAACAACGAACATCAATGAAGCTGGTATCAGACACACAAACCACGATGGTGTAATTAGATGTTCGAGCTTGACATTTATCACGACCAGTGCTCATGAAAGCAAATTTAAGTTTGTATTTCGGTTCTGTGGCAGGGGGTGGGTCGGTGCCGCGGCTGCGGGAGCGCGGGGGCGGACGCACCGGAGCTGCATCGGCTCAACAAGCCTCTTTAAAGGACTGAAGTGGGCCGTGACTGTTGTTGGTGGTGTGTGTTCGGCTGGGAGCTGGAAGGCTGCAGCCGTGAGAGGGTAAAATAGGAACCGGTAATAAAGAGTGTGAAGAATGTGGTCATTCATTAATACATTCATAGCTAGCCTTCAATTTGCCTGACTACTGTACCTTACTGCAAATCAGCCATTGAACTAGTCATGATCAATTATGACGCCACTGCTCATTTATTCGTCATTGTTCGTCTCCGTGCGTTTTTGTGAGCGTCATATTATTCTGGCTACATCTAATGACAAGTAAATAACTGTCTTGTGGCTTTTTATCATTGTTTTGTTTGTTCTTAATGTTGCCCTTGCTGCTAAACTAATCCCCCCTTGTGGGACAATAAAGTATTGAATTGTTGAGCCAATACTCCTGGCTGTGCGCACATTGACCGACTGGAATGAAAGCACCGGCTCATGAGCATCCCTCAGCCTCATGACCCGAGCTGTGTACGCCTAGATCTCATAGCTCCACCCTTGGCTATATAATAGCTAGTAAAGCTGGGCTTCCATCACATTACTCCGCATCTTTTGTTTCAGCATCCCACCTCGGAACGGAGATGCTGACCACAAACAGCGCTGTCAGGACCAGCCTGTGGATTATTTTCCTCTGCAGCTCAGGTGTCTGTGCCAGGAGGCAGCGCGCCGATGCTGATGAGTCCTGGTCGGAGAGCGTTTCCAGGGCCAGGTGTGCGTCGCGATGCCTCAGCTTGCACAGTGTAGCGGCGCTCTCGATTCTGCAGGTCAGGACACCTTTGACAACGGCTGTTTATACATAACCAGTCCTTAAATTTCACTTATTTAACTTTTTTAATCAGCAAATGCTTTTTTTATTGGTTTGAAAGAAAATTTCCATGACCCTTACATGAGTTCTGAAAAAGAGTTTCAAACAATAGATCTGTGCAATAATGTTTATGTAAAGTTACATTACGTTAATAAAATAACTTTTAATATAAGTAAATATATTTCTTATTATATATACTGCTATAAAATGAAACATATGCATTCAGATATGGGCACTTTAGGGAAAGCTGAGGGAAACCAGTGCACAAGGTAATGGAAAGTCACGTTTACACTACAAAACAAGGTCCCAGGATGATGGTGAGT